CTATTGTCATTGGAATCGCTCTGGGCATCAGTCTGTTGCAGAAGCAGGTGCCACGCATCTAAACGATAGTCACAAAGTATATTTTTATCCCCCCTCTGCGGCGAATATCTTATCTCGTCGAATCAGAAATACGGCGTTGCGATCTTTATTCTTTACCTTCTCCAATGCGGAGTGGGTGCAATCATTCATTGGGTCAAGGCCAGTGATCGTACCCGTAGACCTTTCCAGAATTATTTCCACGCAACCTTTGGGCTGCTCATCATCGCCCTTGCGTTTTATCAAGTTCACTCGGGATATAAAGTTGAATGGCCCAAGGCGACAGGACGTGGTGAACTCTCCAATGGTGTCAACGTCTTCTTCTTCGTCTGGTTAGCGGTGAGTCATTTGCGCACTCATTTGAGTGCCTTTTGACAATTCTGTTCTCTAGGTGGTGCCTGTAGCATATTTTGTTGGATTGAGTTTCTTACCGAAACAATTTAGGCAAGAGAGAACGTCGGTCGTCTCACGTGGTGACGGTGACCTCAAACTAGTTCAAATGGGGTACAAAAATCGCCAGTGAGGAAGAATTAATTGGAATCAATTTGTAACTCGCTACTACTTGGCTACTACATACGCGCTGTCATGTGACTGTTTCGCTACCCCTATGAACAAACTGCGTTACATACAAAAATCTTTAAAAAGTGCTTATCGGATAACAAATAGACGGAAGCCTCGTTTCAGATCCAACTCTCGCAGAAGGCAAGGCCGTGAAGAGGACGAAAACGAACACAAGTTAACCTTCTGCCCAGCGCTCTGCCCATGCCTAATCTCCTCCCCCCTGACTTTCAATGCAGCCCTATTCACTGATGAGTCCCACCCCGTTGCAGTTTCGATACCCACGTCGTCTCCACTCCATCCGTTCATGAAAAGCCATGTCATTCGAAAAAGCCAGTCGTTTCACGCCGTCGTGATTCGTAAATGATTGCCAACCCCTACTCTTATATCCGTCAGGCAACGACATAGTGACTGAGCTTTTCGATGTCGACCTCTTGGATTTGGTTCGGATCGTTTTGACAAGAAAAATTGGATTTGGAGTCATCCTGGTGAGGACTATAATTCGCTTGTTGTTCTGCCGTGGGGTTTTTAGAGGAAAGATTTGGCAGCTCATGCATTTCGGCCTTCACGACAAATGACTTTCGCTTCTTCAACTCTTCCAAAAAGAATGTTTTGTCTGTGACGTCCCGGCGAATTTCAATATAATCCGTGGCGAACTCTCCAATCTGTGTTGTCATGTGAGGGAGACTTTTGGTTACGGTGCGACATTTGGCGTACCTCGACTTCATCCATACCAAGAATCTCGTCTTGTTTCGTACACCGCAGGCTCAAACCGGGAATGGCGTCCACGGTCTTGGCTATAAGGGCGGTGAAGACGAAAGTATAGGCGGACGTAGCACAGATGTAAGCAAATTGTTTATACAGCTGCTTTACCCATTCGTCGGGAACGGCGGTGGTCACGCCGTCCATTGCCATGATCGTTGAAGAG